TCCCACCCTCCCCCCATAACTAGTAGTGCATACAGAATAAAACCATCTGTGGTTATAATAATACCAGTGGCCCAGACCATCCGTCGCAGCTCTGTCCTGTGTGCAGTGCAGTGGCAGCTGAAATAGAAGAACACAAAGAACAGATGTAACAAACTAAACCTGCCATCTCTTCAGCAACTCTGCAAATGTTGCTCCCCCCCGTGCTTTACAGACCTAGGCTGTGTGGTAGATTGCTGCCTGCAGGGAACATCTAGCAGTGGGGGACTTCTCTTTTGAATAAGTTCAAATACCCTTTTCTTTCCCAGCCATATGTTTAAGCTGATAACCACAGTGGGAGGTCTCAAATCCAAAACATGCTCTGCTTCTTTGAGTCTTCCTTCGCACTGGCATTTGCTGCTGGATGAGACTGTAGCAGGCAGGGCACTGAGAAGAAAAGAAATTCAATTGCTAGCATTTAGTTAAGCATGCAGAGCTCCCCATGTGGAAAGGCTTGTAATGCATAAGAGCAGGCAAAAGCAGAATCCAGTGGGAGTACTGGAAAGGTGACCTTGCTCTCCAGTTCTCCCTTCTGGGATGGAATCGGACCCCTACTGTAGTCAGTGGAAGTGTTGCCATCTTCCTTCCTTCCTTCCTTTTGCCCACCACCATGGTATCTGATATGGAGATAATCAGTACCACAAAAATATTGCACTTCCCTGGTGAAGCTCAGACAGCTCAGTAAACAGTAATGACTGCTGTTTATTTGTCTGACTGATATAGGAAGACCCAGGGCTTATTATGTGAAATGGTGTCATTCTCATTTTTACACAGCATGCACTTAACCTGAAGGACTCATTTGCACAAGACCTTACAAAGATTGAGAGCTTATTAGCATTCAAAAAAGAATTAGACATTTACTTGGAAGATAACGGCATCTACTGTTGAAGGAGGCAGGACAGAAATGTATAAGGGATATAAATTCTCATGTGCAAGGACATAAGCCACCATTAACTGATGAAGACTGCAGGGGAATCCATAATTACTTAATCCATGACTGTCCTTTGTGGGGGAGAGGGTCTTTTACCTTCCCGTGAAACATCTCATTTTTAACAGAGATATCAGTCACCATTCAGCTCTGCAGGATGGGTTTTACTGCCAATATAAAGGTTATAATTTTTTATTCAATTCTATGAGACTTTTACATACCTTGTAATTCTAAAGCAAAGTTTTCCTCTAAAGATTTGTTTAACGTGATCGCCCCCTACAGGTGAACCAAGTTTCAGAAGTAAAACCCTGAATATAAGAAAACCAAGATTCCCATAGACACGACACTTTGTAGAGAAGCAATATATATATATTGTGTATGTGTGATGTGCCCAGGGGAACCTTGTTCATCTTCCTTTGGCTCATCTATACAGTCCCTTGCTCACCAAAAAAATAATTCTCTCTGCTGGCCAACACAGATTTAAAAGCTGAGAGAGGTGGGAGTCAGCTCTTACGCTGCAGAGACTTTGTTATTCTTATAAAATAAACCCTGGAACATTTTCTGATTCACTGTGATTGCGTGATCTTAAATAACCATAGCCGTGCTATGTTTATCACAGACTGTTCTGGGATTTGTATTTACTGTGTTGGCTTGCTTACTTGCTAGTTAGCTAAATACTGTACATACATTCCTTTGCAAGGTCGGCCTGTCTATCCTTTTATGTGGCTGTCCGCCATAGTAATATCTGAGCTTCTTCCATGCACAATCAATGCTTGTAGCAAAGTCTTAAGTGAATTTTGTGAAGACTGGCTCCGCTGCATGGAGTAGAGTTTTAATAGGTCTTTTTTTTAACCTATTTGGTTTATTTTTAACCTATTTTCAAACCTATTGTTTTATTGGGGCTTATAAAAGTTGCTTTTCTAAGGGTTTTTGTGTAGGTGGTTGGGTTGGTGGGAGTTTGAGGGGTTGCTATTGTCGCCCATAGTAGAAAAAGGCCTTTTCACAGAGGCTTGTTTGTGGTAATTAGCCTGGTTCTGCTAATAAATAGTATATATAACTCTACTATAGACAACATACCATAGGTCTGAGAAGAACATCTGACCTGTCCACTGTTATGATTAGGCTTACTAATAGGTTTTCAGCCCCTCAGGACAGCATTTTAAGAATCATGCTCTTGGGTCACAATCATCCCGATGGCTGCTAGGGCTGGTCAGGAACAGATGGGTATCGGTTTATGCTCCATGGACCCAGGACTATTAACAATGTGACAGACTCGCCAGGGCTTAGGCTCAACTTGCCTGACCCTACAGTGCCTCCTGCACCAGGGACTTCTGCATGTGATAAGGTGGACACCAGTTATTGTCTCTGTTGCTCTTCCAGGTGGTCAGTAGCACTTGGTCTATTCCAGTAGAGCCACTGCAGAAGAGCCCCAGCAGATTCCTTGATTCCTCACCCACACCCACTCTCTTGACTGGGAGCAGAAAATGAAGAGGCTAATTGATTTCTGTTTGCTTTGTTTGAGACTTTTAAAAGACTAAACTTGGCCTTGCTGGAGAGCAGAGAGTCCTAGGCTCAGGTTAGTTACATGCTTTGGAAAGTTAGATTCTAAAATAGAGCGAGGTCAGAAAGACCCAGGGCTAAACAAACAAACAAGCCATCCTGCCTCCTCCTGGGAACCCAGACAGCACTCGGGTAAGTTGGCTGAAGACCATCCCTGCTCACATTGCACTCAAGAATATGGGAACATCAGCTCCCCCATGGTGAGTGTATCTAGAGTCAGAGGTGTCTTTGCAGCACTGTTGCCATCACCATAATGAGTATGAAAGTACAGCGTTACCGAGCGTCACTACCAGTTTACACCGGCCAATACATACAAGCTTCCTAGCCACTTCTGAGAAAACACACGGTAACTGTAGGAGCCATATTCATTATTTTCAGAGAAAATATGACAAGAAAGGATTTTTAGATCATCAAGTTTGGCCTTCTGTGTAATGCCAGCCATAGAATGTCACCTGCATACTCCCATCCAGGAAGAGAACACAGCCCAACTGCAGAGACTTCCTCAGCCTGACGAAGGGTTTTTAAATCTGAAAGCTTGCCAAAATTTTTTTTTTCCAACTATTTAAGTTGGTCTAATAAAAGATATCAGATTCACCCGAAGAACCTTGTCTACCCACATACTTCTGTATTGATCCCCAAAACTTGTGACTAATACATAACTTAGAGATCTCCCTCCTTGGTTTGAAGGCATCAAAAGATGGAGAATTAACAGTACCTGGTTCCCTTGTTAATCACTTTCACTATCTCATTTCTAACCTGTGGGTGTCTCATTTTTAACTTTCGGCCATTAGGGTTTTGTGTTGCCTGTTTCTCATTAGAAGCAAATGAGCAGATCAAATCCAGAAGGGGAGGGGCAGGAGTTCTTTATGCTTGTTGATTCCATCCGTTTCATTTGGAGATGTGTACTTTTGGGGTCTTTGAAGTCTGTTACAGTTCAGGGGTTGGGTAATGCTCCATGGCTCCTGCAGCATCTTCTAATAACAGATGATAATCAGAACACTTGCAGATTTCATTATATACTCAAAGCACTGTACACACATTTACTAACTAATCTCCCATTAATCCCAAATCCCTTGCTAATTACTTACTTAATACATAGCCATAATTTATTAACTCATGCCTAGACTGCCTTTTGAAGATACAGAACTCTGTGGAAATGACAAATACCATTTCTTTTGTTTATTACCAGTACACCGTGTATGTAAAGAATGACTAAACACCATTACTAAACAGCATGATAATGGTGTAGTTGATCGCCTTGGGCTCTAGTGTCCTGTTCTGATTTCAGCTGGGTGCAACTGAGCAGGGACTTACTGAAATCAAACCTATCCTGGGCTCACAGCTATAGTTTGTGAACACTCCCCCCCTCAAAAATCCTAAACACTTATAAAGTCTTTAAGCTGTGACTTTTAGATCCCAGCTGTACAATGCTAGCTGCAAACCACCGGACCTGAACAATGGGTGTCACATCATTAGTAATGACAATTATTTCCCTGATGAGGAAACAAACGATGTGAATGCTGTGATCAGAACCAGTGTTCGACATGAAGTGGCCTCTCCCTCTTTCCACATGCACAACGGACGATGTCTCATCATAGCATCCGATGACACAAGAGCTGCTATTTAGGAAAGCTTATGAATCTTGGATTTGGTCTATAAGGCACAACTCTACCCTGTCTTCTGTTGTCAGCCTACTGCCCAGCTCACACCCCTCCATGGTTTTGGGCACTACGCTGGTGACCCCTCGCATCAGCTCTACAGCAATAAGCACAGAATAAGCACCTGTATCAAACCAAACAGGGACTTTCTTTCCCCCTGTAACGTGCGCCTCTTGCTTCTCGTCATATCTTGCACAGCTGCAGGTCTCAACCTTATTAGACTCAAGACACCCCTTGCTAGGCTCCAGGCACCACTTGGCATCACGAGTTGGAAGGACTCTAATGGTGCCACCTTGTCCTTCCCGGGGTAAAGCTCCTGGCCCTCGAAGCAGAGAAGAGAGAGTGGAGGGAGGAAAAACCCAGCAGCTCCGTCCTGGGGGCCGGTCTGTTGGCCTCTTAGGTCACCTCAAGGCCCATTGAGCAGCCGCGGCACAGACTGCCCGCAAACGGAAGGATTCTCTCTGAAAATGCTGCCTCTTAAGTTCTCCCTCATTTTTTTGACTATGGAGAGAAAAAAATACAGCCATCTTTCTGGCGAAAAGGCCACCCAGGCCAGGCTGTGGGTTCCTATGTGAAATCTCTGGGCTGGTGCATCATGAAGCCTGGGTGCCATGAAGGGACTGCAACCATCCGGGGGCCTTGCAGCGCCCTGTTGAGGATCACTGATACCAAGCAGGAGCTCGTGGGGCGCGAGGGCCTTGAGGCACCTGGCTGAGGCCCTCAGCCAGCCCACAGCGCCCTTCCCCCTCCAGTCCAGTTCATCCCAGCCCATTCCACGCAAGAACTCGCTTTCCCAGAACCCCCGCAAACCTCGCGAGAGCTGGAGCGAGACTTGCGCGGGATAGGCCTGGATTCCTCGCAGGCCCCACCTTCTTTGCGCTCGGGGCAGGCGATGGCGGCGGCGCTGGGGGTGAGCGCTTAGGCGAGCGGGATCCGGCGTCATCCTTGGGGCCGGCGCGTGCTAGGAGGGCGCGGCTCGCGGCGGACTGCCCAGCCGGCAGGGGCGGGTGGCTCTGGTGGGTTATGGCGGGGGCGGCCTCCCGCCTGCCCAGTCCTTTCTGCGGGGTAAGGTGCCCCCCACCCCGCTTAGCTGACCCGTGCGTGACCCCGATGCACTTCCCAGGCGGGGCTGGGCCCAGGGGGTCCCCTGAAGGCCGCTGGGCGGCCTCGCTGGGCATCAGAAGTGGCTGTGGTCGGGGGGTCCTTATAACAGCGCCTGCCAAGGGGAGGGCTGTGCCCACGTGGGAATCCTGGGTGGACATTGGCACAGGGCGAGTGCCCTGGGATGCTGTGAGGAGACAGTGCAAAGCCCGGCTGTCTGCAGGGTCCGTGAGTTGTTCACATTTGCCCTGTGGGGTGTCTCTCTCCTGTGGCAGCCCAGAGATTGGTGCTTTCTCCCCATCTTGCCGTGGGGCCAGGCGATAACTGACTGTAAAGTACGCTGTGGTGCCACGTGCTGCGTGGCTAGACGACGGGCAAGGACAAGAAGGAAAAGGGGATTGTTCTGCCGTCATGTTGAGAGTTGTAATGAGTGGCGATGCTGACTGAAGACCCGGGTGGGAAAAACTGTCTGCTAGTGGCGTGGCGTGGCGTGGCTTGGCGAAGGCAAGGTTTGTTGGTATCCCTTTGCACAGTCCGACCTCTCGTTGAATGGCCAACCTGAAAATGGGCGCATGTCCAGAGTGCCTGTCTCCACCAGATGTCGTTGTCAACCAGGGCAGAGCACGCAGTGAACCCCTGTGAGGGGTCTTGGGCTGTGAAAGCTGAGCTGATGATGATATGAAGTTATCCCTGTCTGAAAAAAGTATTTTCATTTTGTGGAGTTGTACCTCTGAGGCTCAGCACTACCAGTTTTTAAATGATTTTAAATAACCACCTGATTTTTAAACGACTAACCCTCTGGCCTCTTCACAGATTCCCAGAGCGTGGCACATCTGTATTTCACAAAGAAGAATGGGGGACTTGGAGCCAAGGATGCTGTCATCCAGCTTCCCGAGGGTCTGGATCTGAGGAGATCCTGTGATGAGCCACTGTTGCTCTGCATCCGCTATGCAGTGGTGAGGCATTGTAGCATCTGCCTTGTACAGTCACACGACTGGCTGGTTCCCTTTCACTGTCTCTGAGATAAGGAAGCAAGGGTGTTTCATTGTACAGTGGTGTTGGGTGACACTGCCATGATCTCTGGAGCCTGATGGGAGCAGGGAGAAAAGCCCAATCATTTGATTAATGGAATTGATTGGTTTTTCCACTGGGTACCAGTTGCATGCTGCTGTATTGTTGCAGCAGACACCTGAGTGCAGAACCCTTTGCTTTCGAGGGCCAAAGGTTGAATGGGAATCTAAATCTGTCTCTGCTGGGCAGGGCATGTGGTTGTTGACACGGTCAAAGGTGAGTGGGGGAGAATGGAGCAAGGAGGGATTAGATAACACTCCATAATGGAGACATTTGATGCAGCTCATCCCAGAAGTGCCCTTGCCACAGAAATAGGCCTATTGAAAGAATAATTGGTCTGTTTACTCACCCAGAGATGCTCAGAAACATGCCTTTGGCTGGTGGGGAGCAGAGAGGTGTCACTCACAGATACCAGGTGGTGACTCAAAAGGGAATAGAGAAGCTAAATAATAGCTTCTTTTGGAGGTGCAGTGATTATATTTTCCATGTGCCCAAATGCAGTTGACAAAAAGATCCTCAACAGTATTGCAGAAAGCAGTGTCGGATTCTTCCTAGGTGTGGGGAGGGAGCTGATGGAGGAAAAGGCTCTATATAACACTGAAGAGTGGTGTCTGCTTAAAATGAGTTCAAGTGAGATTTAAAGTTGCTTCAAGTAATATGCCTACTCCCTCCCTGTAGCTGCCAAAAGATAGGGAGGGCACACTTTTTAATAACAGTGGGTAACACAAACTATCATCTACATTGGTGCCTTTAAGCAGGGATTTATCATAGGAAATCTTGACTATAGATTGAAAAGAGAGTGCTGACAAGGTGCCTTTTGGCTTTGTGCAGGACAGGCCATGGCCATCCTAAGGTCTGAGTTGTAATCCAGAATTAGCCATCTGAAACCTTCCTTTCTGGATTTCTAATACTGGGACTCTGCATTTCATGCTCTACTTTATCTGAACTGGGTTTGCAGAGTGGGAATTTTTTTCTCTTAAAAGAGCTTGTGTGATGACTGTCTAATACATGGCTTCTGCTTGGTGTTCACAGGGTGCAGCTCTTCCTTCTAAGACATTATCTTGAACTATAGAAGCCACCTCTTGCAAGCCCATGGTGATTGCTTTGATTGCAAGCAGATAGCAAATTGCTAGAGTAATGTGTGGCTTGTGGAAAACCTAAGTAGAAATGTAACCTGCTCTTGCTGCCCAGAGTGCAGAGACACTGAACACGTTTGTCAGGAAGACAGTGATCAGTGCTGGCTTCCTGGGCAGGTTTAATCCTGCTTCTCAGCAGGCTGTGATCTGGTGTGTTTTTAGAGGTTTCTGAACTCTGCATTTTCCAGTCTGCTTTTTGTCCCTGCAAGTCTGAGCCAATGATGTGCTGTTATCCCTGTCTGAAAACTCAGCTGTGAGGGAGAAATGAATATCTCTGAGGCTCATAAACCAGGGACAAAATTTTTCCACATCAGTCATAGTGGTAAACAAAGCCATTATTCTGTGTGCTCTACTGCTGTCCCACTGGAGTAAAAACAGGGCCCTGCCTTTTCATCCATACTCATCATGAGGGATTGCTTTGCTTCCCATCCAGGAGCATTAGTGACTAACAGAAAGAGACTGGGCTTTAGAGATTTAAGTTCTATTTTGGACTCTGACACCAGTTGCTGCTCAACTTTGGGCAAGTCAGTTATGCTCGACACCCGTTATGAATTTTCCTCTCCTCATTCTTAAAGCTTTAAACACTTTTGAGATGGCTGCCTGAAATGTTAACTGCAAAGTATTTCCAAATGACTAATAATGATCTGCATTCCTCTAGCAACTCGCATTCAGTGTTCATATTTTCTAACAGGGTTTGGAAGGCACGTGGTGTGTTTGCTGATGGCCTGTGGAATATCTGCATGATGCCCCGAGCTGCCATGCATTGAACAGTGGATTTGAAAGTAATGGAACTGGAACTCATTTGGGCTTGGAAGCAGCTATGTTGGGTAGGGAGAAACATTTGGTTCTAAGGGATGCTGAATAATTCACACTGAATGTGTAGGAACTGGACAGGATCTTCCTGTACAAAGTTTTCTGCACTTGCTGTATTATATGGATTCTAATGTCCCACTTTGGACACAACAGGGGTTATTTAGTTGAGGGGACATAGCTTACTAGGAAATAGCTGCAGCTGCCAGGCTTCAGGAAAAACAAAATGAAGAGCCAGACTAGAAATAGAAAGTGGAAATAAGCATTTAGTACTGGAGAATGGCCGGATCCAGGAGTTATCAATGTAACCCTTACTTGCTGTATCTAGATAACATCTATTAGCACTTGGGCACATAAGATGTTTGTGCGGTGTGATTTCCTAGTGCCGTGTGCAAGCATAAGTTATTCAAGGATCTGGAATAAACAGGCAATTTGGGCTGCCTGCTTGCAGGTAGTGCCTTGCCACTAGGTGGTAGGAGAGCAGGTAATACTTGCTTGCTAGTAGGTGCACAGGGCTTACACTGGGATGAGTCTGTCCTGGTTTTCCCTGGAGTAATTCTGCACCAAATTCAAGTAAAATTACACTGGCATAGGGCTGTATGTTGTGTGTCCAGGCAGTAGCTTTCTCATTAGTCACCGAAGTCTCCATTAACTTGATGTTGCAAGCTGCAGGCGCTGACCTGAAGTTACATGTCTGTTTCTAGTATGCTTCTGGTTGATCAGTAGGTACTAGGTAGCTCAGGCATTAGTGAAATGGTTGCTTCCAGGTAACTGGGGATTTGCTTGTGCTCCTGAGCTCTCACAGACTCCTTGACTCACTGGCAAATAGACACTTATACCATGCATATGGAGAGGATGAGTTCTTGGAGTGGCAGGAATGTGGCTGTAGTGCAGCTAGCTGTGACATGGACAAGGCCAGACTTGCATCTCAGGAAGTAAAGGTTCCAATTGCTATGCCAGTCAGTAATAGAGCAACAACTGACCTGTCATCCATCCTGAAGTCTTAAAACTTCCCAGCCTCCTCAGACAATGTTCTTTTAGTAAAATACAGATGAAAAGTTTCTGTGTCTGGCCACAATCTCTGCTTTAGTTTGACACTAACTAGCTCCTTTCTTTTGTCAAATATAATGACTTTTTTCCCTTTACCCAAATAGGTCCTGTTTCAGCAGAACTGGCTGGAGAGAAGTGCTGTCCATCAGTGAGATTTATCTTCAGGCAAAAAAATAAATAAATTGCTGACAATTTTGGATGCCTGCAGTTGTTCCTTTGGTGATAAGCTAAAACCAGTGTTAGCACTAACTTTTCAGCATGTGTCATTTGATTCTCTTGTACAGCAGAGGTTCAAAAGAAACTACTAGAAGTAGCGGGGTGTAGTTTAATTGAGAAAAGGGTGTCTGCAAGTCAGCAATATCCTCTTCGGAGCCCTGCCTGGCCCTTGGTAGTAACTTTGAGCTCCTATACATGTGTAGGGAGGCTTCTCCAATGTGCTTTAATTACAGCATGTTGGAGCAGGCTCAGTCAATTGAGTCTGCTTGAGTGGTAATTACTGTGCTCCACCAGACTCCAGTGTCAGATGTGTTGGCACCTCCATGCTGAAAAATGGCGGTAGGGGTGCTTTAAAGGTTGTTCAACGAGCTTCGGTTAAAAGCACACCTGCTGCCATTTTTCAGCACGGGGACATTGATGTGTGTGATGCTCTGGGTACTTTTAATTAGCACGGCTATTGGGAGCTGTGCTAATTAAAGCATACTGCCCCCACCACTTCCAGAGCATGTCTATAAATGATTTTTCATTTGAATTGATGTCCAGTGGTTATAGAAGGCAGCAACCTCTGTCTAAGCCTAGACTCTTTAGTAGCTGGAGCTGGCAGAAATATAGTATGCAACTTCATTGCTTTTTCCAGTCCTGGTGTTGGATTTTGAGAGCTGTAAGACTTAAGCCTTTTTTCCTGCCAGATGATGCTCATGCTGGCAGCAACCCAAGCGGAGGCAGTTAAATGAGAGAAGAGAATGAAAGTTTAGGATGCAATTTTTGAACCAGCAGAGTGTCTGGCCTGAGATAACCTGGTTGCCTAGAGCACTTCCAGTCTGACAATGGCAGTCACTTTCTTGTTATTGGTGGGTAGCTTGTGTTAACTTACCTCCTCTTCCCCTTCTGTATACTTGCATAAAGCTACCTTGAGTGTCCTGTGAAGGGCTCTGGATCTGTAATCCAAGGATGACCCACTTGCTGTTACATTTTGAAGACTAGGATAAGCCTGAGGCTAATGCATAAGGGAACAAGTCTAAATTGGCTGATGTACAAAAATGCTCTTAATGTGTATGTTGCCAACAGGTAGAGGGCAAAACTAGTCTGTAACACAATTGGATTGAGTTTCTAGGTATTTTGTACCCCAGTCTTGTGCTTATCCACTATGCTGTGTCTCCCAACCATAACTGGAGAGCTGAATGCTATTCTACCATGGTGACTTACAGCAAACAATGACTAAACTATAAAAAAAAAAAAAATCCTAAATTTAGTTGCCGGGTTGAAACAATCTGGCACTGAACCACCTGGCTCTGAATTAGCATTGGTTGCATCAGCTTTTGCTAGTGAAGGTCAGTCACAGGTTTAAGTCTTTCATCCTCTCTACTTTGGTAGTCACTGCAAGACAACCCCCTCCTGCCAACCTGCCCTCTAATAACACCAGTCATACACTGCATTGTTGCTTTGCTTTCTATAGCAGCCTCTCTACCTGTCATGTTTTGCCCCAACCCCTTGGCTAAAACAACAAAAGAGAACATAAAAGGAAAAAGATCATTCAACATTTATGCAATTATACAAAGTGGGAAAATGTTTCAAATTACACTTCATCTCTCCCCATTGTCCTTTCGCACCCATCCATCTATCCCTAGCCCTTGCAGCATTCCTGTAGCACATAAACTTACTTGTAGCAGATCTGATGTGTCCTATTTACACTTAATTATCTGACAATAAGGCTTTAAGGGTTAAAGATCCCACCCCCTCCCACTATCCTTCTGTTGCCTAATTGTTTTCAAATGAAATTTGATGGTGGTTTTGTCTTACCCAATGGAGTGGCAGGTCCCCTCCTATATCTCTAAAAGAAGTAGGTTCTTCTTTACTCTACCCAGAGGCACCATTAATTTGAAATGCAAATAAGGCACTTGCTGCCTTGTGATTCTATCACCCACCTTACACAAGTCCACCCACCCCAATCTGCCTCTGAGGTTCCAGCTAGCAGAGGGCAGGGTTGCTGCAATTTACCTGTAAAAACTCCATCACCTTTGACTACAACATGGAGTGACAAGCTAAACAAGGGCTGAAGCGGTCAGACCTTGTGCTGTGCTGGTGAGCGAGGTGGAAGAATGGAGTTCCACTGAGGAAGTGGAGCATGAGTGTGAGATGAGGGGTTATAGATGACTATAGTATTAAGGCTTCCCCATGCCCAGCAGTAATGCTCTTTGGCTGTCTACCTGCGATATCCACAAGTTCCACCTGGCTGTCTTCAGCTGTGGAGGGTGGTGTCGTGATGCATTACACTAAGGGTGGAGGGAAGAGTTTAAAAGCAGAAGGAAATAGGGCTGGGGCTATCTTGAGTCCTGAAGGAAGCTGCTGTTCATGGGCAGGAGGCAATGGTGGGCAGCACATTTTCCAGCTGGAAGCTGTGTGCTGAGGGAAGGCAGTGTATAACAGGAAGGGGAGTAATGGGACCCTCCAGCATCCCCACTTGGTGCCATCACAGTCGCTTGGGAGATGAGCAGAAGATGCACCCTGACAGCTGTTGGCAGCTCTTGCCCACTTCATCTTGGGTGCGTTGGGAGAAACGGCATAGCTTTCCACTGTGGCAAAGGCAGCTCCAGATTCTGTTGTCTCCAGCCAAATGCCAAAAAGGCCTAAGCAGAGTCGGCCACAGTTGCTTTGCTGCTTCTGAAGCCTCGAAGTAAAGCCCTCCAGCCCACACCCTGGACCTGAAGAATGAGTCGAGGCAATTCGTCTACTTCAGTTTGTAGGGTTGGCAATGAGTGAATAGGCCCCATTTGCCTGTAAGTTCTTGACAGCCTCAGAAGGGGAGAAGGGACCCCATGGGAAAGAGGAGAAGAATGCTTTCTTTCCATCCAGCAAATGCAGGGAAGTTGTCCCTATAAGCTACCAGCCTGCCTCATCGCTGGTACAGCTTCATGATGCCCACCCGATGCAGGCTCTTCCAGAGCTCAGCCTCCAGCAGCATGTCGTGGTTGGCATAAAACACCAGAGGCTTCTTCTCCAGCTCGTAGTAGTGGTCTGAAAAATTCTTGTAATTGTCGGTGATAAATCCATAGGCACTGACCTGGAGGAAGCGTGAAAGGTGGTGCAAATGAGATGGGAAAGGAAGAGGGGTCCAACCTGTGGCAGTCTCTACTCCAGTGTTTGGAATAAGGGGGGCTACCCACTCCAGCAATGCCAAGTGGACCAGGAACATGGGGCATAATGCATTGCCAGGCCTACCCTACCCTTCTTGGTTAGTGTGACACAGCAGCCCATTGGAGCTACAGCCAAATGCCAGCAGTGAGATGATGGAACACCAGGGCTGGGATCACCTGAGCCTTCTCCAAAACAAGTTAGGTCTTAGCAGAGATGTGCAAAGAGCCAAGCCACAGTGTGGCTGTAATTTCACTCTCCACTGCCAGGATCATGCCTTCAGCTTAAATTTATGCTAATGGTATTAATCTGTGCTGCAGCCAAAATGCGATTTGTATAGATCCACCTATCCAAGCCAGCTGGGACAGCTCAGTGCCGACTGCCACCCCCCCCTGCAGAAGCTGGGTAAATACTGGGGCGGGTAAATCCATGCCTGATCCACACAGACTTAACCAGACTGGTACTGGTACCCAAGCTAGGTGGTATAAAGTCAACCTGTATATGGCTACATGATCTGTAATCACAACACTGTAGATGTGCACACAGAGTATGGAGCACTGAAGAAAGGTACCCCCCCCCCCC